GTTCGTCAGCTTCGTTTAAATCATGCATTTCATATCTTTAATGAGAAATGCCCACAGTATATGCATGAATTTTTCACCAAAAACAATAACACATACGTTACTAGATCCGGAAATTCAAATTTCGCTATTAAAAACGTCAAGAGTATAGAAACATCTACTTTTTTTCTTTTCGGCTGCTAAAGATTGGAACCTTGACTCTTCATATCAAAAATAACAAAAACAAACATAAATTCAAAACCAATGCTAAAAAACACCTTGTGCTTCAGGGAAAAAAAATAATTTGATGATCTTTTTTTGCACACATATTTAACCTCTTCATTCTTTGTCACAAAATACATGTATAGACCTGTGCGATGGCACGGGTCGAGCAGACCTCGTTGGTAGGGGGACCCAACCGTTGGAAAGCTTGACTTGCGGCATTGCACAATCATTTCAAATTTCATTTTTTCATGCATTTCTATAAACAGTAATGTAAAGATCTGTCGGTATATTTAGTCTGTTTAGTATTTTAAGTATTTTGATATCTTTGAAAATGACTATGTAACACTGTTTTATAGTTTGCAACTATAAGAAGCTGTCTGTTGCTATAAATAATTATTATTATGTATGTTGTATTGTTTTATATATAAATGGTAACACAATTCTACTGATCAATTATCTAATATGATATACACATATCCTGTTCTGTGCCATCTTAACCGTTACCGGTTTTCTTCCAATTTTAAACGACCCAATTGGAAATAAGCCACTTTGTGGGTTTTATGGGTAATCCTAGGTCAATGGCACACACCACTCCTATTATGCGACTTATTTATATCTAACTACCGTCATGTACTAAAAAATAGTCTGTCTCATTTTATAGTGATATATGCCTTGATGTTTTACGGTGTATTAGACTTTCTTTGTTTTTAGATTTTTATACTCTTTGATATATGTCAAGGATTGAATTAAGAAACCTTTTATTATAATATATCTATTTTTATTCTCAGTCTTAATACAAAGTATTCTTTTTATTTACAAGCTGGGGGAGGGGGGGGAGTTTGGCCCCATTTTCATTAAAGTTGATCTGTTTAGCATTTGTTAAAATGTATGTGTATTTACACCATACGTATGACAACAATAAGTAGCATTTCGGTTTGCAGAAAGTTTGCAAATGCAGAAAGAAGGGAGGTCATGATTTTCTTTCTACCCTCCCAACAAATAATTGTCTCGCTTTTAGTAATCTAAAATTGTAGTTTTCCCGACATTGTTTTCGTACGAACGTCCTGCCCAGTGAACTGCACTGCTAAGATCCTCAAAATTGTAAATATTTGCTCGAGATAAAACATATCAGAAGTGGACGGAGTTACCCCAGGGCCGGACTTGCCCCAGTCTCTTCTTGCCCTAACCCCATATTAAACCCAGTCGCAATGGATCTACCCTGGTTCGTTGTTTTCAAACCACCTCAGACATACTTGCAAATCAAGTAGATATCATCTGCATAGGGATATATAAATAGCAAGTATTCGACTTTATCTTCTTAGCTGTTGCAATGATGCACAACTCTAAACAAATAAATGTCACTGATTTTTATTTATTTTATTTTTTTAATAAAATATTCGGATTTGTTTATCATGCTGTTAAAAGGTGATCATGACGTTACATGCTGGAGGGGATTACAAGACCAATTTAGCTTATCTCTTTCTTTTCTTACATGAACTGGACCACAAAATGAATGTCTTTTGAATAATTTAAGATCATGCATGAATGACATCTCAGAATTGTAATCGATTTAGCAACACTTGTTAATAGCAATGTCAATAACTTTTTATTGATCTGTTGCATTGCCTCAAGAAATCAGAAGAATGTTTCAAATAAGTGCCTGTACGGAGTCAAATAATTGTTAGCACTAACTTCCGGTCTATTTGTTTGTTTTCAGTACTTTACGGTACCTTTTGAAGATATGAGTATAAGAACGAAAATAAAAAAAGATGATTTACACCATTATTAGACTAGTGTTTGTCAATGCATGCATTCGATAGTATCAAA